CCGCACGTCCTACCTTCCAGAAAGTGGTCGCTTTTCTGATGAGAGAGTTGTTGCTCTTCTTTTCTTCGATCTCCTGTTGAGTTTGTGGGTGTTCAGAATGGTTTGATCCCTATCCAGCTGAATTCCTGAGAGGAGACGAAATCCAGGTCTCCTACTCCTCCGCCATCTTGCTCCGCCCCTCAACTATACGTTCTTGATGATGACCATTTGTTGATCTCACTCTTCATCTGCTTCTCCCATCCTGCCCCTCACGTTACATCCCTTTGATTTTTTAATGCATTTTTTCTTTAAAATTTTTTACTTTTTAATTAACATATCATGAAACTATTTGCGTATACATTTCTATGAATTTTAACACAGGTGTAGATTCATGTAATCATCACCAAAAGCAAGATCCAGAACAGTTTCAACAACTCCAAAACATTCTTTCATGCTATTCCTTTGTAGTCATACCTTGCTCTCACCCCTTGTCCCTGACAATGCTGAGATGTTGAAAATCTTGTATAAATGAAATCATGCAAATAGAGCTTTTTGAGAAAGGTTTCTTTCACTCAGTATAATGCCCTTGGGGTTCATCCACATTGTTGTATGTATCCATAATTTACATTTTTTTTTTTTTAATGTTGAGTGGTTTTCTGTTCTATGGATATATATACCACATTTATTTTATACATTCACTGGTAGTAGGACATTTGGATCGTTCCCAGTTTGGGGTGATGACAGACAAAGCTGCTATAAATATCTATGTATGAGTGTTTGCGTGAGCCTAAGTTTTCTCTTCTCTAGGGTAGATCCCCAGGCCGGGGAGTGCTGGGTTGACTCCCTTCATAGGGATTTGCCTCCCATTTAGGAGCCTCAGTTGGTCCTACCCTGGGACTCCTGATGCTGTGTTCATACTTGCTGCCTTCCTTCTTCCTCAGATGAGCAGGCCCGTCTGCCAGTGTACTGCTGGCTCCATGTTCTTCCATCCCACCCACTTTCTGGCTAGGAGCTCCCAGCAGGTGATCAGACTAGAGCCCGTTTTCCTTAGTCTAAGTCTCTTCAGGCTCTGGATTTGCCCGGAATCAGATTATTGCACCAGCGCTATAGTTCCTCTGCTGGCTGATTGGCAAAGCTGGCTTCCAGCCTGTGCTGAGGGCGAAGCGGTAGGTGCAGGGGCAGAAGGACAAGTAAGTCAGGGAGGGAGGTAGTTGTGGCATGCTACCATTGTGGTGACAGCCTGACAAGGACACTTCATGTATTTGATGCTACACATATAGATAAAGGCTGTAATATTTTTGTGGAACCCTACAATATTGTGCTTGTCTTCTCAATTGTAGGCAAAGATGGGCTGTCTGGAAAGCTGGACTCAGCCTGGAGCCTGCTACCCAGATTGCTATTTTGTGAAGACTTCCGCATACAAATGACTCAGATGGAAACATTCAGAAATGATCTTGGAGGGCCATCTGGTCCTTGCTGGTTCTAAAAGCTTCATTCAGCCTGGTGGATGGATCCAGTACAAAAGATAGTGAGGGCCCTTCACTGAGGTTTAAATATGCTCCACGGACCGAGGCGAGAGGCTGACTTTAGAACTAGCTGATGCAGATGCTCAGGGGCCAACTGATGGCGCCTCCCCCTTCTAAGTCCGTGGAAGTCTGGTGAATGTTTAATTGATGATCATGCAGTTGCATGGAGGCTTCGAAACACACACACACACACACACACACACACACACAGTTTTGCGTCATTGGGGAGCACGTGTTAATTTGTCTGGGTGTCTGAAACGAGTGGGAATGAGGCTGACCTAGCAGGTCAGGCAGTGAGGTCTGTCAGAGCCATGGGATCATGGTGATGTGTCATATTTAATCCGTGAGGACAGTGCTGCCAACCTTGCATTTTGGACAGTGGTGCTTATGGGCTTGCTGTGGGCACTCACTGGCCGCTTGCCTTTTGCCCTGAGGTATGGCTGTGTGTTCTGTGGCCAAGGGACGGGGAATGTCTCCTCGCTGGGAGGCTACCAGGCTTGGACGGGGATGGAATCCTATGCTCTCAGCCTCATCTGTGGGCTCTGATGGAGTCCAGAAGAGACTGGGCGTGTAGTGAGAGGGACACTGAGCACCAGGGAGCACAGGTTTGAGACAGCCACCTCATCTGGCCAAGCACATGAAGAGCCGGCTCCTCTTGTTCCTCTGGGCTCTAGTTTTCTCTTCTGACAGTGGCGTGAGGGGAGATGGGCGCGCATCCTTTAGTTTATGCAGACAGAACCACAAGACATCCTACATTATGACAACGTAATTCATGCTTTAATGCTTTCTCACTCCCTAGGATGAAACGTTACTGAGTCCAGGGGTTGTGCCTCATCTCCATGTACCCCCAGCCTTAGCACAGCGCTGAGCCCACAGATACAAGGAAAAGGGAGCTCATTAAATGCTAAGGAGAGAGGCATGTTGTTTGAAGGGCACCCATAAGCTGGGTGAGGTATATAGGTGTTGGGACAATGGGGAAATTATTTTCCCTTTACCTCAAGTAATCTGTCTTTCTTGTATTCCCTCTCAGTAAAGATGCTGCTGTTCCATCTTCCATTGTTCTCATCTTTCCAAGACTGTGGTGCTCCAGGAGATCTGCCCTGTGGAAGGGGAACCCAGATCTAGACTATTGGTCAGATGAAGTCAACTGGTAAGTCCTTCCCTGCGAGTTTAATGTTTCATTTCAAAAACTTATCAAATCACTACAAAGGCCACATTGGTCTGCATTGCCCCTGCCCGAAGACATGAAGCGAAACCTCTAACCAGTCAAAAGCAAAGGTTAATGATTTAGAACTTTTTAGGCTGTTCTGATAATGTTTCTTCTATCAAGATGGCACTTCAAGCGATGTCTAACTGTGGATGGAGAAATTGAACATTATTGGTTTTATGAACCTGTGGTGAGGCTTATGGTCTGCAAGAAAGACTCGATCGGGGTCCAGAGTTCACCATCTTTCTTCAGCAACGCTTTCCCTCTTTTCCTCTCAGGATCCAAGCTTTCACGCAGAATTTTAGCCTTTCTTTGTTAGTGGTTTTATAGGGGCTTCCCCTAGGGCGGTCCCTTGCGGTGTTTGCCAGGGCTAGAGATTTCCATTTGCTCCTGCTAAGTTTACTGATGGTGGTGATTGCAGTGCCTGTATTCTCTTATTTTTTTATTTTTTAGTAAATATACATGACATAAACATTACTATCTTAATAATTTTTTAACAAAGTTATTACAATATTATTGACTATATTTCCCATGCTATACTTTTCATCCCTGTGACTTATAATTGGAAGCTTGTACCTCTACCTCTCCTTCCTGATATCAACCCCCACCTCCCAATTTTCCTCCCCTTTGAAAACTACCAGTTTGTTCTCAGTGCTTACGAATCTGTTTCTGTCTTTTTTGTCTGTTCGTTTGTTTTGTTTTCTAGATTCCAGATACAAGTGAAATCGTATACTATTTGTCTTCAGTTTGTTGTGTTGTGACTGGCTTCTGTCATTTAGTATTATGTCCTCCAGTCCATCCATACTGTAGCATGTATGAGGATTTCCTTCTTTTGTAAGGCCAAGTAATATCCCATTGTATGTATAGACCACCTTTTATTTATCCATTCATCTGTCAGTGGACACTTGGGTCACTTCCACCTTTTGGCTCCTGTCAGTAATTCTGCTATGAACATGGATGTACAAATATCTCTTCAAGACCCTGCTTTCAATTCTTTTGGATATGTACCCACAAGTGCAATTGCGAAATCATAGGGTAGTTCTATTTCTAAGTATTAAAGGCACCAACGTACACTATTTACCAACTGGCTACATTATCTTACATTCCACCAACAGGGCATATGGCTTCCAGTTTCTCCATACTTTCTCCAATGCTTATTTTCTGCTTTTTTGGGGTGGCAACCATCTTAAAGAGAGGGAGGTAGTATTTCATTGTAGTGTAAGTTTTGCATTTCCTTGAGACGTGGTGATATTTTCATGTACTTACGGTCCATTTGTATGCATTATTTGCCAAAATTCAAGTCCTTTGCCCATTTTTGAATCGAGTTACTTGTTTTTGTTGAGTTGTAGGAGTTTTTCATCTATTCGGGATCCCTCATCAGATAGACGATTTGCAAATATTTCCTTCCATTCAGCGGATTGCCTTTTTGCTGATCATGCCATTTAATGCACAGAAGTTTTAAATTTTGATGTAGTCTGATTTATCTATTTTTTTTTTCTTTTTCCGCTTGGCTTTTGATGTTACATCCCAGAAATCATTGCCAAATCCAATGTAATGAAACTTTTCCCTATATTTTCTCTTAAGTGTTTTGTAGCTTTAGGCCTTATATTTAGGTCTTTGATTTATTTTATGTAGTACTTGTTTTTACCCTTCCCTAGACAGTGAGTTTCTTGAGCACAGAGGCTGTGGCTGTCCATCTGCATATTCTTGGCACTTAGGATATACCTGGAACAGAGTAGGTGATCAGTAAATTATAGCTGAAGGAAACAACTTTATCAGACATGATGAGACTACACCAAAGAATGTATTTATAGTGATTTGCCTTCTCCATATTAATTATAGCACACTGCCTTGGGGACCCATAAAGAAATCTCTAAATTAAAAAAGTAATACTTCTTGCAAGGGCTTTTTGGCATTTTATTTATTTACTTTTTCATTGAGGATATTTAATGGAATATTTGACTGTTTGTCATACTGGTTGTGGCCTTATCACACTTGACCTTGAATGCCTTTCTCATGAGCTCTGTGCACAGGTAGCTCTAGACTGATAAAACTGTGCAAAGAGATTGTTTCTCCTGTCCACATGGGTCCCCCAAACCCTGGGTCAATCAGTGGAAGAGGCGGGCACCCAGTCAACAGCTGACCAAGTTAGCTTCGTGACCTGGGGCAAGTTTTCCACATCTCTGAGCCTCCTTCAGTTCCTTCATTTATATGAGAGTCCTAGTTCTAAAATTATCCATGTAGGTACTGGTGGTAGGATATTTCAAAGAGTAGAATTTTTTAAAATTTTATTTTATTATGTTATGTTAATCACCATACATTACATCATTAGAAGTAGAAATTTAAGTACCTTTGGGAAGAAACCAAGAGAAGATGGACCACAGTCTGGCTCGCAGAGAACCTTCCTACCCTAGAGATGATCTGAGAGTCAGGTGGGGAGAAGGCTGTACCCAGGGTCTGCAGAGATGTTCCTGCTTGCAACGCTTGCGCTGTCAGGGAAGGCGGTGAATTGAGAAAAAGTCCTATTATTGTTGTTGTCATTGCGTCAAGGACATGAACCCATTTCAGACATTCCAGAGTCAGCTGTCTTGTACTTGGGTGTGTGTGGTGGCACAACCAGTTTAAAAGATAAGAGGGCTCTTGGTTACACTGTTAGTTAAAGCTGTGAAGACTGCTCCTCCCCCCGCCCCCCCAATCCCATACATCCCACGTGTTTCTTGGTGAGTTTCAGCCATGTTTGAGAGACAGTTATGGCTCCATCCTCCCTGGTGGACTCCTCCACATGGTAGCCTATGGGTACTAGCATCTGATGCTGAGGTCTCCCTTCTGCCACAGCCATTCTTGGACCTTTCTGAGCCTGGACACTGGGTCATCTTTAGGGTGCCCATCAACAGCAAGGCCTAGCAAGGGCGTCAGGGAAATCTGGATTCTGATCTCTACTCTTTCCATCTAGATGAGGTTTGGGCAAGTGAATGACCCTCCCTAGGAATGGGCTTCGACAAGTGTGAAATAGTAGGGTTTTTATCTACTATTTTATATAGAGAATTGGGTTGTCGAAAGAGGGAAGAGTGGAAGGAACTAAGTTATCGAGCACCTTTTATATGCAACGTACTCAGCCAGCTGCTTATACAGTTTTGCTTAATGCTCACCTTAGGATGGGAAAATTGATGCTCAGAGAGGTTAGGTGACTTGTTCAGGGTCACACAGCTTGTACACGGCAGAATCAGGATTCTAATGCATATCTGGTGGATCTAAAGCCAGTGTTCTTTCTCCCACATCACTGGACCTTGGCATGGAATTAAATGGGTATATTCTGCACTGGTGGGAAACCCCTTTTCCCTCCTTCCCCTGCTCATGTTGCTAATTTGCTTTCCTTAGGGCACCTGAGAAGGAGGCTCTCAACCTTTGAGCCTTCTGTTGGCTTTTACCTTTGCTGAAGAGCAGATACCACCTATTTTTCCCAGAAGCTATATTTCCTAGAGAAAGAAGAAACTTTGGGTCAAATTGTCAAATGAGGAGCCAGGGGTGGGGGTGGGGGTGGATGCGGTGTAAAAATTGCCCCAAAGACAAAGAGCCAAGTACAAGTGAGGCTTCATTTATCTGTGATTCCAACTTGTGGTCGTTTCTTTTGCTCTCTTTTCCTTTTTCTAAACATATTGTTCGGAAACTCATTCTTGCTGGGGGCCCTGGTGAGTGTTATGGTGTCCAGATTCCTGCTCTGGGGCCCTGGATTCACAAAGGCCAAGTTGACGTCCATTCTGCATCTGGCTTATTTGATGCCAGAGGAGCGCTGAGGTCTCCTGAGAGAGCCAGGAGAGATTTGCCTCCTGCAGAGGTTTGGATAAGCCCCAGCTAATCTCCATGGCTTCTTAAGGGCACACCTGCTTGTCTGCCAGCCAGCAGCCTCCTCGCTCATTTCCCGTGGGACGGCTGGGGTCAGAGGGCCTCCAGAAAGCCTTTTATCCCCCACCACCCCACCAGGCCCCCCTCAGCAGCACCTGGGTCCACACATAAGACTTTCTTTGAGGGGAGGTCTAGACGTTGTCCCTCCCAGAATGGGGGCTGGTGCCCTTTTCCTTCTTTTTGAGGCAGCTTGCTTGTTCCTTCCTTCTAAATAAGCATTTAATTCAAGCTTTATCATGCATGGCTCGAACTTTATCCCACTGGGGCCAAGCTGATCTGAGTTAGTTTCTGGGCTGCTGAGCTGTGAACACATAGTAGGTGCTCAGTAAAGAAAGATGAGGTCTGGTGATGATCTGCTTGGGACTCCATGAAAGATCCACTGTCATTTTCTATCTGTCTCATCGCTGGGATGTGATAGTAACACCCATAATATAACATGTCAGAGAATTCAAGTCATTTCTGGTCAGCCGTGGGAGTTAGGGATTCTCTCCTTCCTCCTTTCCCAAATCACATTGTCCTTCTGAATTATCTTTTAGGAGTAGCTAGTAGTGAAGTTGATTTGTATTCTATAAGCATTCTGCTTAGGATGGGCAGTCAGGGACTGTTGTTTGACATAGGAAGCTCCCAGGTGTTGCCTTCTTTCTTTTTTTCTTTCTTTCTTTCTTTCTTTCCTTCCTTCCTTCCTTCCTTCCTTCCTTCCTTCCTTCCTCCGCCCTCCTTCCTCCCTCTTTCTTCCCTCTCTGTCTCTGTCTCTCTCTTTATTTTTTTGTATGTCAAATGGAAGCATGATCATTTTTGAAGAGAGTGCTATGAATGACAATCTGTAAGGGTATGGCTGAAAAGAATCTAAAAAAACTGTGATCCTCTCTTCCTTTGAACTCACCAATTGTTCTGCAGGTTTGTAATTCCGCTTGTCCCTAATTCCACTAATATTTGTTAAGCCCTTCTTCTAAGTCCCTGGGCTGAGTAAGGGGATGAATCCAGCCCCATGGAAACCAGTTTACCTAGGAAGATAGGCCACTAGAATTACATGAGAGAGC